ACTATTCACCTTTTCAAACTGTAAAGTTTTCTGCTCCTTTAACTGCCCAAACCGGCTCATCATGAGCCCTGTTACAAAGATGAGTGCTAGGACCAGAAAGCCACTCTCCTCTTTTCAGTGAGCTGGTTTACAGTACTCCTGCTCTATAGCTGCTTCAGGAGAAATGCCGACACAGAAAATTGTGGCATACACTCACATGAACAAGGGAACAGAAATTTCTTGCAGCCAGTTTTACCACCAAAAAACCCATATCCTGCAACTATAGTGTCCGAGTTATTTGCCTTTCTTACTCCACCCAGGTTAGTACTTCAGGACAAGTTAAATAGGTTGCATTGGTGTGTTTTAGTTTTGGGATAATTTTTTTTTTTTCCAAAGACAGCACTCTTGTAATAGCAACAAACCCATTTATACAAACAGAACTGAGGAAAAAAAACCAAGACAATGAAAAACCTGGACGGTGGAGGTAAGTATAGACAAACCAACCTCTCTTAACTACACTAGTGATTTGCAAGTTGCATCAGCAGTAAAAGACGTCAGTCTGCTGCTGCAGCCAGAGGGAAGAGACACGCCAGCCCTGATGAACTACACAGTAAGGGAAAACAAAGGGAAGCAATAAACCAGCAGGGTTACTTTGAGGACTACTCTATATGCTTGTTGACCTGTAGACCAGGCACAGGGTTATCAATGGAAAGGAAAGAGAAAGACTACTAGTTAGCAATTGGGACAGCTGCATAGACGAAATAAGTAAAGCTGTCTTGGAAAACTGATTTCCAGATTTATCAATAAGATAGGTACAGGATAGAAAGCAAAAACTAGCCTTTAAACAACAATTCAACTCAGTTTTGGCACACCCTTTCTCTTACATGATACATGCAGACCAATCAACATAAGAGAGGGAAGGAGAAACTAAAGCCATGAGAATTTACTCTTCATTGCTAGCCATGGTCACTCTGAGACTGCAACCAGAAGTGGTGCCAGTTTTTCCAGTCCTCTCATAAGCTGAGCTGACTAAACTCACCCTTGCAACCAAAACATATGCATTTTAAGCATCTTCTAGGTAATACGCCTAATATCAAGCGCCACGTATAACCTTTCTGGAAAAAAAAATAACAAACAAAAACCAACTAACACACAAACCACCAAACAGAAGACATCCCTACACTAACAGCTAGTTATGGTTGGATTAACAGACTCCCATTTAATTCATTAAAGAGAAAACAAAATCCCCCTTAATTTACTAAAATAATGCCTTCCTCCAGAAATGGTTACATGGTCAACCCTGAACACTTGTCATTTCTATTTCTGTGAACAATACCATCTTGGGAGAGCCTTTTCTTTTTTAATTTCCCCTTTCCTTCCTCCCAGAAGGAGATGATCTTAAAAGGCCTCCTTAAAAAGAGGCAAAGCTTTTCTTCTGTTTGTTTTTTTTTAAACAATGATCTCTATTCCACGGCCATTAAACTAGGGCAGGGAGGGGGAAATTCTCTCCAAAGTGCTTAGGTGAGCCAAGATAATGACAAGGCAGGTTTCCCCACACTCTTAAGCTCAGAGAAGCCTGGAAGTTCAGTGCATGTGGCAGTGGACTCCGCCAGCCTCCTAGCAGGCCGTGCATCCTCACGGGCGGGGGGCAAACCAAACCGGCTCGGTTCACAGCGCCAAACCACCGCTAGCTCTGAACGGAGCTTTGGTCCGGGCTCAGGGAAGAAGCATCCCTGTCCCAGCATCAGCACGCGCAGGCCGGCAGTACCCAGGCAGTACCTGAGAGGGTAACAATCCCTTGGGGCTGGGGCTGGAACCGCAGGTACTTGTTGCAGAAGGAGGCCGACTCGAGGGCCAGGAAGAGGACGTTGCCCAAGAAGTAGCCGGCCGTCTGGCCCACGGAGTTGCAGGTGGAGGCGTAGCCCACGTTCTCCCTGGACAACATGGTCAGGGCCCAGCCGTCCACCGCGATGTCCTGCGTCGCCGCCAGGAACTCGAAGAGGAAGAAAGTCACGGTGAGGGCCACCACGTCGGGGCCCCGGCCCTCCCCGTCGCCCAGCAGCATGTCCACCTGGGTGGACATGTAGATCATGAAGAGCCCCAGGACGTACTGCGTGGGCACCAGCCAGGACTTGCGGCGGCCAAAGCCCCGCAGGTAGACGGCGTCCACCAAGGGGGCCCAGAGGAGCTTGAGGCTGAAGGGCCAGAAGACGAAGCTGAAGAAGGCCTGGTCGGTGTAGCTGGCACTCTTGCTCTGCAGGATGAGGGGGACGCTGCCCGCCAGCCCCAGCGGGATGCCCTGCAGCACGTACAGCACCAGCAGCAGCAGGATGCTGCCCAGCTCCGCCCGGCACCCCCGCGAACCCCGCAAACCCGCCTCCGCCGGCAGCAGCGCCTCGGCCTCGCCGCCCGGCAGCCCGTCCCCACACAGCGCCAGGGCGGGCGGCGCCTCGCTCCTCACGTCCAGGCAGTGGTGGTGGCTCCCGGCCCGGCGCTGCCGGCCGCCCTCCTTAGCCGCGATGGCGGGCGACATGTTCTCCGCCCGGCGGCGGCGGCGGC